AAAGAGTGACATAGAGAAAGATAGGGAGAGAGAGAAATTTTCCAACTATTGCTTCACTCTGCAAATGACTGTAATGAGCAGGGTAGGCAAATTCAAAACCAGGAGCCAGGAGCTTTTGCTGGGTCTCCCATGTGGGTGCAGGGCCCCAAGCCCTTGAGCCATCCTCCTTGGCTTTTCCCAGATGCATTAGCAGGGAGCTGAATTGGAAATGGAGAAGCCGGAACACAAACCCAGCACCCATGTGGCGACTTACTACACCTCAATACTGGCCCCTGTTCAGTTAATTGTTCTTAAGAAATTGGGTCCCAATGTTACGGTGTTGCAAGTTAAGCCACTCCCGGCAATGCCAACATGCCATATGGAAACCAATTTTAGTCCCAGTTGCTCCCTCCTCTCCAGCTCCCTGCTAATGTGCCAGGAAAAGCAGCAGGTGATGGTCCATTTAAGGAGTTATTTGAATATCCCACCCTGGACCCAGCACCATTTCTTCTTCCTCACAGCTCACGAAATTCACGCCAGTCTAGCCAGCCACCAATCAGATGTAACCTGGCATTCCACCTGAGAATCCCACCCCAATCTTTCAGCCCCTTCCCCAACCCTGCCCACTCACCAATCATCCCTAGGCATTCACCTGCAGTCGCCAATCCCCTGGGGCCTACCCTCAATCCCTCCCAACCCCACCCCCCACACCTGGCAGGCAAAAAGGCCCCAGGTGCGGCCGGTTCTCTTCTTTGCTCTCTCTTGCTCTCTCTCCCTCCTTCCGGTCTCCCTTCCCCCCTTCCCCTTTTCCTGCCCCGCTGGAATAAACCTCCTAAGATACCTCGTTGCTTCTGGTGTTTTCAGCTCACGGTAAAGAACCAGGTTGTGGGAATTAGCTGCGCGTATAATATTGTAATATCGTATGAGCTAGAACTAGAACTCAACCCCTTTTTAAATAACTAACAGTCCAAGTGCCCAGCTTCCTGCTGCTCGCACGAGTGAGACCAGATGAAAGTCCTGGCTCCTGGTTTCAACCTGGTCCATCCTTGGCCATTGTGGCCATTTAGGGAGTAGACCAGTGGATGGAAGATCTCTTTATCTCTGTCTGCCTTTTGAATACATAAATTTCAAAAGAAAAAGGCTTTAAATATCATTGGTATCAGCAAATAGCCATGTTAATCATTACTACAATACCAGTGTGTCTTTTGCAAACATGTCACAGCACAGCTACACAGGGGAACACGGAGTCAGACTTTGTCTCTGTGATTAGAGGAAGATGGGGATGAGCAGCTGTTAGCTGGGGGAGCAGCCAGAGAGATTTATGACTGGGAGGAGCCCAGGGAATGCGTGGGAGAGGCCATGGCACCCAGGGTCCCTGCTACCCAAGAGGTGGCAGGTGAAGAAGTGGGCCAGGTGGAGCCAGGAAACCAAGCAGTGCCTGGTGGGGGCCACAGAGCAGCAGACCTGGTCCTCGTGTGGGCCCTCACCCTGGCAGTGGCCCCAGGGATCCCTGCTTACAGCAAGAACGAGGCAGCTCCAAGCAGGACTGACTGCCATTTCCCGGCTCAGGATACTCCCCTTCTGTGGGCTCCAAGGTGCTGGTGACTTTGAGCGAGTGTGACTGCTCTCCTAGGACACAGATGAGCTGACCTGGAGAGAAAAGTGGGCAGGGTCCCCCTCCCCTGGCCTTCCTCCCCTGGCCAGCCCCTGCAGCTTCCACAGAACAGGGGCCAGTGGCACCTCCTGACCACACCTGCAACTCATTAACTCCCTGGCCTCAGGGGAATTCCTCACTTTGAAGGCAGGGTGCCCCACCATTAATCCTTTAGGAGTCTCAGAGGGGCTGGTAAATTCCCCCACATGTCTGTGTCCAGGTCAAGGTTACAGCAAGGTAGGCAAAGCAGGATTTCGGTCTCCAGACCTGGGGTCACAGCAGGAAGGGGCTGGGGGAGTGGTGACCCGGAGTTGGAGAGGAAGGGGGGAAGGCCCAGGAGGGGACCCGGGATTCGGTGACCTGTAGGGAGAGGGGTACTGAAGCATCACAAAAAAGGGGGTGAGGAGCCAGCCCTGGGGAACAGCTGCTGGGAGAAGGTGGGGCTGAAGGGGGACAAGCACAGACCCTATGAGATGAGCTTCAGCCAGATGCAGGACAGGAGCCCATCCAGAGCCAGGCAGGGTCGTGGGCCTGAGGACCAATGATGTTGATTCAGACTAGGAAGATCAGGGATCAGGAGCTGGAAGCCACACCTCTCCCATCCTCTGTAATCCTGTCCAATCACCTGTCAGTCAAATACCTTCCCAGCAGGCTTCCTATGGCTGGGAGCCAGGAGCCTGGGTGAAGATGGGGTGACTGCCTCTGGGAGCCAGGGCTCCGGGCAGCCAGATGGGAGGATCCCAGGCTGGAACTCTGCCAGCTGAAGAACACCAGCTCTAACTTCATGCTAGGTCTCTCCTTGCCTATTAATCAGAGACGTCATCACCTGCAAGCAGCAGGCTTTTCCATTTTTATTTTATTTTTGAAAAAGAGTTACTTGTTTTTCTTATTGGAAAGGCAGATATACAGAGAGGAGAAAAGACAGAGAGGAAGATTCTTTGTGTGCCAACTCAATCCCCATGTGACCACAAAGGCCGGAGCTGAGCCCATCCAAAGCCATGAACCAGGAGCCTCCTTAGGGTCTCCCACATGGGTGCAGGGTCCCAAGGCTTTGGGCCATCCTTGACTGCTTTCCCAGGCCACAGGCAGGGAGCTAGAAGGGAAGTGGGGCTGCCAGGATTAGAAGTGGCCCCCATATGGGATTCTGGCGCATACAAGCTGAGGACCCCAGTTGTTAGGCTACACTGTCTCTCCTCCTCTCTGTACATCTGCCTTTCCAATAAAAATAAATAAGTCTTTAAACAAGTCTATTTGACAGAGACATCTCTCATTCCACCAATTCACTCCTTGGATGCCTACAAGGGCTGGGCTACACCAGGCCCAAATAGATAAGATTTATCTATTTTTATTAGAAAGTCATATTTACAGACAGAAGGAAAGACAAAGAAAAAGATCTTCCACTCACTGGTTCACTCCCCAAGTAGCCACAACGGCCAGAGCTGAGCTGACCTGAAGCCAGGAGCCTCTTCCAGACCTCCCACATGGGTGTTCAGGGTCCCAAGAACTTGGGCCGTCCTCTACTGCCCTCCTAGGCCGTAAACAGGAAGCTGGATCAGAAGTAGAGCAGCCAGGACACAAACTGGTGCCCCTATAGGATGCTGGTCCTTGAAGGTGGAGGATTATCTTGCTGAGCGACAGCGCCAAGCCCCATGCAGCCCATTCTCTTATCTTCTAGATGGTGACAGCCATGACCTGCTGCCTGCCTGGGTGTGCCTTAGCAGGAAGGTGGACCTGGGGACAGCACGGAGGCCTCAACCCAGACACTCTGATATGGGATGCAGCACTTTCTCTCTTGTGCCAGACACCTACCCCAGACTTTAAAGTTTTATTTATTTATTTGAATGGCAGAGCGACACAGAGAAGAGGGATATATAGAGAGAGAAGATCCCTCCCGAATGCCCACAATAGCTGGGGCTGGGTGGGCTGAAGCCAGGAGCGAGAACTCCAGTAGGGCTCTCCACGAGCCCCCCACCTGGGCGACAGGAACCCAATCACTTCAGCCATCTCCTGTTGCTGCCCAGGTGCACACAGCAGACAGCCAGATTGAAAGTGGAAGTGGGGGACTGACACCATGACATAGCAGGTAAAACTTCTTGCTGCAATGCCAGTAGTCCTTATGGGTACTGGTCCATGTCCCTGCTGTTCCACTTCCAGTCCAGCTCTCTGCTAATGGCCTGGAAAAGCAACAGAAGATGGACCACATATTTGGGGTCCTGTACCCACAGGGGTGATAAAGAAGCTCCTGGCTGTGGCCTGGCCCAGCTCTCGAGTGGGCCAGCAGACAGAAGATTTTTGTCTCTCCCTCTCCCTGTATAACTCTAATTTGCAAATAAAATAAATATTTTTAAGAGTACAGGTTGGGATCCGGCATGGGAGCCTAGTGGCTAAAGTCCTCGCTTTGCACACCCAGGGTAACATATGGATGCCGGTTCTAATCCTGGTGGCCCCGCTTCCCATGCAGCTCCCTGCTTACGGCCTAGGAAAGCAGTCGAGGACGGCCCAAAGCCTTGGGACCCTGCACCCACGTGGGAGACCCTGAGGAGTCTCCTGGCTCCAGGCTTTGGACCGGCACAGCTCTGGCTGTTGCAGCCACATGGGGAGTGAATCGTCAGATGGAGGATTTTCCTCTCTGTCTCTCCTCTCTGTAATCTGCCTTTCCAATAAAAATAAAATAAATCGTTAAAAAAAAAGTGCAGGTTGGACTCAATCCCAAGCACTCCTATGGGGGAATGGGTGACCCGGGCAGCAGTTTAACTTGCTGTACCACAGCTCCACCCTAGCGGCTGCTACGTTTATATGATGCTTCGCACTTAGCATGACTCTGCAGCATCAACTGCTGTCATCTCATGTACTCCTCCCACCTTGGCCCTCTGCTGCCACCGCAACCCCCACTTCCCATTTTGCAGATGAGGAAACTGAGGCAGAGAAAAAGAAAGTCACTTGTCCCTGATCACTAAGATGGCACCTGGTGGAACCCACATACAGGCGGTTTGGGTTCAGAGTCCCTGTCCGTGACCTTGTGCAGGCTCTGCCTTTCCCCGTCATTCATGCAGAAGCTCCTGGTGACACAGCACTAACTGCCAGCCACACGAGCATGCCAGTGTGGATAACTGGATAATTATAGCCTCTTTGACATCACGCGTGGCAGAAGAACCTTGCCAGCTGTGCCCCGAAACCCACAGGACCCTGAGACACTGTAAAAGGAGCTTTATTTTGAGCCGTCAGTTTTAGAGGTGGTTTGCTCTGTAGCAATAGATAAATAAAGCAGCATTCAGCATCAAACACTCATGGAGTGGCCTTTCATGGACCAGCCACTGTGCAAGGCACTGGAAAAGGCTCCATGGTTTTGTCTCTGTTTTAAGGGCTGCTAATGACCTGTGCACACAGCATCTGGAACAGGGCTTGTCTCTCCTGAAATGGGATTAAGATCAAGAACAATACTTTCATAGCTGGGAGGGGGAAAGGGTGGTGGGGTCCCGAGCATGGCATCCCCCGGTGCATGGTCCTGCAAGTCTTCCTCCATGGAGTATGCAGGTGGGGCTGGCAGAGCCTCGGCTGGTAAATAGTGCATGACGTCCGCATGTGTGGGCATGGTGACCACCTTCGGGGTCCTAAGGATACAAGAATAGAGCTGTTAGCAGCAAGGCTGGAGAGACCAAGTCCCACCCTGGCCCTCACAGAGCTTTGGCAGGTCATGAAGTCAGAGCCCGTTCCCGTCCTGTGGCCCTGGGGGTCAGGCATTGTGGAGGTCACCAGCCCTTGCTTTGGGCACAAGACTGTGTAAAGTAGGGACCAGTAGGGCATCTACCAACAGGATGGACTGCAGGTGACACAAGACAAGGCAGGCAGGCTCCGGGCTGGCTTGCTCCCAGGTCACCAGCATGGAGCAGGTCTGGCTGTCCAGAATAGGGAGGGGCTGGTGGCAGGAAGCCAACGTGGAGGAGAGGGAAGGTGGGGTAAGAGGGATCAGCGCTGGAACCATGCTGCCACCCCTTCTGTGAGCACCCAAACTTCTGGGACTGGGGACACAGCCTTTCCTCTGCAGGGGGTCTTCTCTGTCCAGCCCCCTGCTGCCCTCAGAGCAGCCCCCAGGGGAGGCAGGCTCACCCCTCTTTGTCACAGAGCAGGTACTGGAGGCCCTGGCTGTGAACCCCACCTGTGAACCACCCCTGCCACCAGGCAGGAGTCCATGGTGGAGGAAGCTGCTGGGGTCAGCCCCTGACGCTGCACCCCCAGCCTCCTTGGAGGAACATGACTCCTGGAGGAGGACAGTGAGGTGAGTTCCATTGCTGTCTGACCTGGATCCTATTCATACCTTCTCTGAGCCTCATTTTCCTCATCTATAAAATGAAGTTCTAACACCCATTTCTCAGATTTAGAGGAGGGAGACACATTGGGCAAGGCTTCAGCAGCCTTCACAAAGCGATGGAGGTGGCACTAAGCCTGCTACAGCTTCCAGCCCCTACCCCACTCACCTGCCGGCCACGCCCCAGGCCCACCCCAGGAGCCAGGCTTTGTGTCAGCTAGGGCCACACCAGCAGGTGACAGCTGGCACAGGGAGGCACAGGCAACCAGGGAGCTGAACCTGGAGCAGGAAGTTTGCTCAGTGGGCAGGTGTGGGTCAGCCCTTGTGCCAGCTGTTGTTGCCACAGTGGCCAGCAGGGCCCACCCAGCCCCGAGTCTCAATGCCAGAACTTGTGGAGCACAAGGCCCCATTGCAAGGTGGCACATCACACACTTCTGGGAGAAGGACTCCATTCACAGCATATTCTGGGTACAGTGGAAGTTCCCCCCAGGCCAGTGTGCACCCCACTCTCTGGGATCCGGTCCAGGGTAGGAGGTCTAGGGCCTGGCACTGGCTCCCCTGCCCCTCAGCAGAGTGAGACAGCAGGGAAATGGGATGAACTCATATTATCCCTGCACCTGCTCTATAATCTCAGCGCATATTCATGACCACTCTGCGAGGTAGTGAGGGGTGGGGAGGACAGCAGCTCTCACCATGGCAGATGAATCAAGATCAGACATCAACTAAGTGATCTGATGTTAAGACCCAAGCTCATTTCCCTAGCTCCCCTTGTCCCCAAGCCCAACTGGAATCTCCACACCTCAGTCCTTCCATCTGTATAGGCTCATCCTTACACAAACGTCGCAGGTGGTCAAGGTTGGCATCTGGATGGGGCTGAGAGCACACCCTAATCCGAAAAGCAAGGCACTAGGCAAGGAGGTGAAATGTGTGTACCTCCTTGGCAGTGTACACCCAGCCCTGGGATTGTCACCTGAGCCATTGCAGAAGGCATGTGTCCAGAGGCTCTCAGAGCAGAGACTGAACCTGGTCTTGAGCACAGCCCGTTGTCTTCACCAAAGCAGGGAGTGGGGCTGTGGGGAGGCCTCTGTCCAGCCACTGCACTTAGGGGGGTGTCAGTCAAGTCAAGAGCGTGCAGGGCATCCAGATGAGATGGGTTTCATCTGCTGTTATGTTCTCAGGACTCTGAACAGGCCCCTGCACACAGGGCAGGTGTTCAATCAAGCATAAAAGCACTCAAGATGAGCAGGTGAACCAATGAGGAAACTGAGGCCCAGCAGGGGTTCAGGATCTGCGCAAACCATCAACCCAGGATGTCCCTGGCTCAGGCCTGGCAGCCAGGTGCCCAGGGCAATAGCAACCCAGGACCCACCATGGGACTGCTGGGGGCCTGGACCAAGGAGGTCTCTGAGATGGGACAAGGAGGATAAGCCACAGCCTCATCACCCAGCTACCCGTTTCTGAGTCTAAGACTTGGGTTCCAGAGCCTCATGCAACCTCCTGGGTGGGCTTCCTGTTAGGCGAGGCAGACCTGGGCTGTGTGCATGCAGGCCCAACAGGGTCCTGGCCTGCTTCCTTCTCACTGCTGCCTGTGAACCAGCTTTTTTCAGTGAAGAAAGGAAGGTTGAGGTGGACCACCCCCAGGGTCCCTATCCTTCCCTACCATAGTCACTTTGCCCTGAAATGCCACTATGGACCCAGGAACCTGTGTTGAAGGAGTCATCCCCTATTGCCTGGGGGAGGAGGGGCGGGCAGGTTGGCAGTGTGCCCTTTAACTGGAGATGGCAGTTCCTCCAGCAGAGGCCAGCTCCTGGAGGTCGCAGTCAGGAGGGAGGTTGGGCTCAGGGCTTCGGGTCTTCTGTCCAGGGCTTGAGCAAAGAGGGAGGAAAGCTCTGCAGCCAGTAGCCCTGCCAGCCTTGGTGACTTGCGCCACAGCCAAGGCCAAGGGCAGGAGGGCAGGAGGTGACCACAATGGCCTCTCTCTGGGAGGCAGCACAGAACCAAGGCACACATGGCACATGTGCTCTCAACAGGCCCAAGCCGGCTCTGGGCTGCAGTTCAGACTTTGAAATCCTTGCGTCTTTGTTTTTATACCGTGTACTTCCCACATGCATTGTGACACATTTCGGTACATACAGAGAACATCACAGAACACAATATGTGCCTGTGGTATTCAAATGTCCTGCGAGAAGCACTGGCTTAATTCAGCATTCTGCCTACAACCCCTAGCCCACCCTGGAGCCTCTGTGCATGCTCTTCTGTGTGCCTCCACCCTGTCTGCCAGAGGAGAAGTTGCCATTGGCTGTGCACCTGTTATGTCCTTGGTCTGGGTTCTACACAGACAGTCTGATTCCACCCTCCCAGAAGCTGCTGTGACAGCAGAAAGGTCCTTTCCCATTCCTTCTTTCCTTCAGAGAAGCAAGCACAGCTTCCCACTGCTGGTTAGGGATAGCCAGGACAGGATCCCAGTGGGGGTGACTCCATGCCTGGGCTTTTACTATCCCTCAGCTACTCTACTCCATGACATGCTGAGCTCAGTAGCCACCTCTCCCTGGAAGCCTGTCTAGATTTCTCCATGACTCCACAAGACCATACCCATCCTTCTCTCACAGCTCTAACAACTACAGCAGTTTGTCATCTGTCTCCCTCCTGGGGGCTTTAAGTTCCTTGGGGGACTACAAAGGTGCTTCCCACATTCCCAGGGCACAAGGCAAAGCCTGCTTCAGAAGAGAAACCTCTTGAGATGTCAGGCTGTGTGACGAGGCATTACCCTGCCCTACATCCCCATTCCTACCCCACTGACCTGCAGCCCTCCTTGTCTGAGGCCTCCGTGGTGGTGAGGTAGTACAAGTGTCTGGAGCAGTGGTACGGGTCCCCCGGGGGTGGCCCCGCTGCCCCAGCCAGGACGGACCACAGCAGGCCGAAGAGCAGCAGCAGACCGCCGACGCCACAGCACAGGAAGCTGACAGATCTGAGCAGGGGACTGGGGGCCGCAGGTGCAGGGTGCTCGGAGGGAGAGCCCTGCTGGACGGGCTGGGCATCCACGTCTCCTTCACTCCACCAGGCGAAGCACAATGTTCCAGTCACCAGCACCACCGTGCCACCGGCCATCATGCAGCATCGGATGGCGGAGGCCATGCGGCGGCCAGCAGAGGCCACGCGGTGCCTGGTGCACATCTGGATACGGCAAAGGAGGGAGAAGAGCGAGTGAGCCCCAGGCCACGACCTGCAGATTGCAAACTCCATACAACCCACAATGGTCCCTAGAGCAGAGCTGGACTAGGTCGATGCTGGACTTGGATTCAGGTCTAAGGTGATAACGATGTGGTGTGTGTGTGCATGGCCAGGCCTATCTCTACACCACTGGGATGGTGCTGTGGGGAGATGTGTGTTTATGTCTTCAGCATGAGCAGTTCTCACTGTCACCTCGCACTCCATGCCACCGTCCTAGAGTACTGGGGTACTGGGGTCATCCCCTCTGCTATGTGTGTGTATGCCTGCATGTGGGTGCTCGCCCCCTAGGGATTTCCGCCCCATTTCCCCCACTAAAGGCAGGGCAGCTGCCTCCTGGTGTGCATCCCACTGTGCACAGTGATTTGCTTTATTATGGCTCAGGCTGGGGCTGGCAACCAGCAGGGGTTCAGCTACCCACCACCTTGCAGAGAAGTGGTCTTTAGGCAGTAACTGTGCCCTCACACGGGGCAGACAGCTAGTAGGGCAGAAGAGGCACAAAGCTCCATAAACCCAGAAAGACCTGTCCCCAACCCTGCCACCGAGAAAACATGGAAACCCAGTCAGTTTGAACGCAGAGCAGACCGCTCACAAGCCACCGGGGCCACCCTTACAGGAAAGGTCCAGGTCGGAGCCAAGAACGCTTACCCTGTTCCAGGGCGCAGCTGAGGCGTCCAGACAATCTGGTGCGAGCTGGGCGCTGGCTCCGGGCCCTCGGAGGCTTCTTGGCCCTGCGACCTAGGAGCTGCGCCAACCTGCGGGCAGCGGTCCCTCCCGGCCACGCGCCGCTCTCCGGCTGCGGCCGACCGCCCCGCGCAGGTGAGCCCGGCTTCGCTGCCGGCACCGGTCGGGGCACGCTTCTCCAGGACGTGGCGCCTGTGATGCCCTCGGCTCCTGAGGTGACCGCCCGGGCAGGGCTTGGGCGGGCAGCAGCCGGCCCCCCGGGGCAGCCCCCACCTATCCCCCCGAGCCGCGTCTTCTTGAGGCACAAGTCTCGCAGCCGACTGCGGGCAGCCAAGGTGTGGGCGGCTCCAGGTGCCCTGCCGCCCGCCCCACCCGAACTTAAAGCGACGGCGCCACCTGTCCTGGCGAGAGAGGCAGGGCGCGACCAGGCCGCTTCTGACCGGAATCCCCGAGATCGGTGCGGGTCATCAGTCCTTCGGGAGGGTGGGAGGCAAACCTGGAAAACCGGGAGTTGGGGGCAGCTAGAGGAGCCCTGAGCCCAGGCCTCGTCATTCCCATTCCACAAAGAGGAAAACAGGCCGAAAGAGGCTTCAGCGCATCTGTAACTGGGCGGCGTTTGCTTCTCCCTGTGGCCTGACTGAGAGTAAAGTCCCCAGCCCTCTAGGGCTGAGCAGCAGGCTTTCTGGGGAGGAAGACCAGCTGTTACTGCCTCCTGGTTGTCGCTGTGAGCAAGGGGAAGGCCAGGGAGAAGAGAAGGGGGCTGCGTAGCTGTGACCCGCTGCTCCCTGCCCTGCCTTAGCCGGTGTCCCCAACATGCATCTTCCGCTTCATGAAGGAGTGAGGTAGTGCTGGTTGTTGGTTAAAGGCAGCTTGTGAGGACAAGTGATGGAAGAGCGTGGAGGAAGGGGCAGCTCTACACGTGTGTGCAATAGACGGAAGGAGAGAGCAAGAGGCAGAGAGAGAGCGCTTTTATGGGAGGGCACCTGAATGAACAAGTGGTGATGGGAGGCAGTGTCTGAGCAGTTGTCTGCTTCCAAAGCCTGGGCAGAAACACTTGTGTGAGCAGAAGGGGCTCAGCTTCTGGCTTTTATCTGTTTCTGCTGCTCCAACGAATTAGGGGGCCGGAATCAGACTGCCCTGAGCCATGTCAGGGATTACTCCTAGGGTTTAGGATGCCCACCTCCTCTCCCAGCCCAAAACACAAAAGATGTGAGCAGCCTGGTTCCAGGAGTAGCTGGAACTCAGGGAGGGACCACTATGACCTCGGAGTCTCAGCCTGATGGCTCAACAGGCTAATCCTCTATCTGTGAGCCCTGGCATCTCACATGGGTGCCAGTTCCTGGCTGCTCCACTTCCCATCCATCTCTCTGCTTGTGGTCTGGGGAGGCACAGGAGGATGGCCCAAGTCCTTGGAACTTTGAACCCATGAATCAGACCCTAAAGAAACTCCTGACTTCTGACTTTGGATGGGCTCAGCTTTGGCTATTATGCTCTTTGTTGAGTGAAGGGTGGAAGATCTTTTTTTGGTCTTTCCTTCTCTTTGTAGATATGCCTTTCCAAAACAAAAAAACAACAAAAAAACAAAAAAAGCCCTCTCAGCATCCAGTGGCAGGGCCCAGGCCCAGGCGCCCAGGCTCCTGTGTCTAAGGACACCTTGCACACCAGGGCCTCCGGCCACAGAAGTGCTTCCCTGGTAGCTGACATCTCCATGCCTGTGTGTGCAGTCTGTGTGAACAAAAGCAGGCTCAGAGAGGGACCTGGCTGTGGGCAGTCCCACAGGGCTCAGAAGCAGTTCAGCTGAGCCAGGGGCTGGGTAGGTTTTGACTTTGCCCAATCTAGAGGTGGGTACCATCTCTTCCCTGGACCAAAGGCCCTGGGTGCTTGTGAGCTCAGGGAGATGTGAGTGGGAAGCTGAGGCCTTGGATCACTCAGCCACACTTGTCCTGCTGAGGGAAGGCAACCGTACAGAGTGCTAAGTCCATCAGTTGCCAAAATGTGCCCTCCCAGGACCTAGTGGGTAAGAGGTCACATCACAGCACCTGGGTCCTTCCCAGCTCTGTCTCCATGCTCCAGGCTCCTGCTAGTGCACACCCTGGGAGGTAGCAGGTGGTGTCTCCAGCAGCTGAGCTCCTGCCATGCACGAGGGTGACTCGGACTGCGTTCCTGGCTCCCAACTTCGGCCCCACCCAACTCTGAAAACATGGGCAGTGAACTAGCAAGTGGCAGTGCTGTGTGTGTGTGTATGTGTGTCCTCCCTCATTCCAGGCTGAGGTCCAGGAATAGGCAGGATGTGTCACTCAGGCCCTGCACAAACTGGAGTCCCCTGGCCCAGGGTGGAAACTTGGGCCACCCAGGGTGTTGGCCAAGTGGTGATTTCGTTACTGCCTCAGCCACTCCCAGGCTGGACGAGGTGCCATGCCCTTCTCTTGCAGTGGCCATCTTTTTGTAAAACAGAAACAATGGAAGTTCCTTTCCAGGGTTGCCATCAGGGTTCAGTAAAGTTCCCATTCCCTGGGAGCTGGCATGGCTCTGGTCTCCTGTGACACAGTGGCCATGTTTAAGGATTTCCCCTGGTTCATGGTGACAACCCCAGGAACAGGAGCAGGTATGACATTGCTTACACCTGCTGTGCCCAGCCAGACCCAGCCCAGCTGGAAGCACAGCGACCAGGAGTTCCTTGGGACCCAGAGAGCTGGGCTGTTCTTCTGACTCCATCTTCCTCCCCATCTCTCAGATGAACTGATGCAGCTGTGAAGACAGCCAGATGTGCAGATGAACTCACAGGCCAGGGTGTACCTGCAGATGCTCCTTGAACAAGTATCCTGAATCTCCCCTGCAATCAGCTGGGGTACTTGGAGCAAAAAATTGGTCACCTCTAGGGGTGGGCAGGGTAGAGGGCTTTCCCTGGCCCTCCAGCTGAGTCACAGAAGTTTGCAGACAAGGGCTTTGCCCATGTTTCTCAGAAAGGAAGTGGGGAAGTGGTTGAAGTCCACATTGGTTGGATCTTCCAGACCCTGTGTTTTTTCCATTTTTGCTGTGTCTTTGGTTTCCCCATTGTAGCCCAGGATGCTATTACTGCCTCTCCCTGGCCCATCTGTCCCCAACGCTGTCTTCCCTTCATGCTATACCCACTTGAGATTCCAAACCAGCATCCCAACCGGTCTGGCACCTGCCTAAAATCTCAACTCCTGAACATCCAGGCTCAGAGCCCATGTTCCTGGCCACCTGCAACCTTATTTCCTGTGCGCCCCACTGTGTCACCCTGTATGTCACTGTTCTTCACTGCGTCACAGGTGGAGTGCCTGCCTGCTCACCTGGTAAACTCATGCATGTTCCCAAAAGCTCAGGTCACAGGTCACAGATTACAGGTTACCTCCTCTGTGTGATTTGGTGACGAGGTCCCTCTTCCAGGCTCCCTAAGAAGCTAACACAGCCCTAAGCGTTCTGAAAGCAAAGCCACATGCCTTCCTGCTTTTGTTTCCAGTGAGAGGGAATGCCTAGGCATGGCAGTAGGAAATTTCAACAAGTGAAAATAAAGCAGAGCTACTCCACTTCTGATCTGACTCCTTGTTTAAGGTCTAGGAAAGCAGCAGAGGACAACCCAAAATCTTGGGCCCTGCGTCCACATGGGAGACCCAGAAGAAACTTCTGGCTCCCAGCTTCAGATCAGCTCAGCTCTGGCTGTTGTGGCCATCTGGGGAGTGAACTAGCAGATGGAAGGCCTTCTGTCTCCTCTTCTCTGTAAAATCTGCCTTTTATATAAAAATAAGTAAGTTTAAAAATTATTTTTCATTGATCACAATCCACTATAAACATCTTTCTGTTTCTCACTGTACTCTAAGTAGCTGCCAGTGTATCCAGCTCCCCTATGGACAGCTTCTTGAAGGCAGTGGATGTCTCATGTCCTGTCCTTGTCCCTTTTGCCCTCACAGTGCAGTACATACGTGCCTGCCCTGGCCCGTGGCTTGGGCATGGGACATACTACGAAGCTTTTTTGCCTCCTGCCTCTACAGGGAGGGAGGAGCTCAGGAGAGAGGAGTCACCTCAAGATCTGCCAGCAGTGCAGCCCATCTGGTAAGGTCAAGGACACAAGAAAATTCTACAGCATTCACATGTAAGCACCCATAGTATTATATTGGAATGTGGCCATTCTTTAAGTGTTAGTTTATGCTATGATGTCAGAATTAGATAGAGGGACAGAAACCACATGGTTCATCCCCACA